TATTTTTCTCAAAATCATTTCATGTTATAAATTATAGTTAAAAAAACACAAAACCTTACTGTCACAGTTTAATCTCTTACCTTGAAGTGCGTTGAGCTCTAATTTTTTTTTCCTGTGGCTGTATATCTTCTCTTAGTCATAACTACATGTAGTCTCTTCTCTCTGGCTTTTTAAACACGAAAGCCTTTCATATACTTTTCCAGCTACCTATTCTCAGAGTTTTTGCTGCTTCTCACAAATACAGATGCAAAGAATGGCTGTAGAAAACACATACAAAAGATTTCATAGGATTGGAGTTATAAAAGTCCTTGTAACTTTTTTTTCTAATCAGAAAGAGATCTTTTCTTAGTAATGCCTTCCTCTTCCTCTTTCCTAAGTCTAAGTTTGTGCACACAGAAGAATTATTAATTTTAGGTAGTTTACACTCCTTAGCAGCTTTAGAAAATGATTATATTTGAAAACTGCCTTAGGTACAGGGTCTACATCTCTAGTTCAAGCAAAATATATTGAATCAAACTGGTTTCATGATGATTTATTTATTCTACTGAAATGACCCTACTAATTTTTTTCCTAATAGTGATATCTCATATCTAGTTTTCTTGAAAATGAAGTAAATACACCTTGTATTTCTTAAGTAATAGCTGAGTTTTAGGAACTACTTTCTATTTTTTTTTTAACATTGTCCCCGAGAGTCTAAACTATTATCTCTTTTGTTTGCATTTTCTTTCCTGTATTCTAGCATAATAATTTGAATTTGTTTCTCCTGTTCTAGGCTCTAGAAAATCATTTACAACAAAAACATTCTGCAGAGCTTCAGTCATTAAAAGATGCACACAGAGAGTCAATGGAGGGCTTCCGGATAGAAATGGAACAGGAACTTCAGACTCTTCGGTTTGAATTGGAAGATGAAGGAAAGGCTATGCTTGGTATTTTGAAAGGATTATAATCTTGTCATATTTATTTGTACATTCTTCCACTTAAAAACTCAACACAAAATCACAAAGTGTTATTTTAAAAATTTGAAACATCAAGATGAATATCTTAAGTATGTTGCGTATTTTACTTGAAGTTACCAGACGAAGAGGCGAGTAAGGTGGAGCAGACTGCGTTGAACACAAACAGTAGAGTGAGTTCCCCGTGGCTCTCGTGGTACTCTGGCTATGCAAGTAACACCACAGGGGCTTCCGTTTGTCTTTGTGGGACTAGGTGGAGTTACCCCCTTCTTGAACTTTTTCCCCCTTGATTTTCATGATAGTATACTGTCCTTACTGTACTCCTGCTTTTCTGACCTCCAGCCATTAATCTCATTGGCCAGTCCTATTTCCACATACATCCGTTAAATATTGCTATTTCCCAGGATTCAGCCCTGTCTTAGTTTGTTTTCTGTTGCTATAAAAGAATACCACAGACTGGGTAATCTATAAAGGAAAGAGGTTTATGTGGCTCACAGTTCTGGAAGCTGGGAAGTCCAAGATTGGTGGCTCATCTGATGAGGGCTTCATGCTGCTTCATAGCATGGCAGGAAAGTAGAAGGGGAGAAGGGATGAGTGCTAGAGAGAAAAGTGGGCTGAACTCCCACATTAGCTAGCCAGCCCAGTCCTGTGAGAAAGCATTAATCCTTCTTAATGACCTAATGACCTCTTTTAAGGCCACACCTCCTAACACTGGGACAATGACAATCAAATTTCAACATGCATCTCAGAAGGGGCAACTCATATGGAAGCTATAGTAAGCCCCCAGCCTTCTGATGTGCTTTGTAGTCTTCAGCCTTTTCCTGATTGATTGGCTCCACATCCATGGCTCCAGCTACCATCTGCGTGCTGGTGACTCAAATACGTACTTCTAGACCAAAGTTCTTTTCTTGTAGATTGGATTTATATTTCTTACTGCACGTTAGACAGATATTCTGACTTATACTCAACATTTTAAAGTATCAACTCACTATTTTTTATAGTCCAAAATGTGTTTATATTCCCATACCTCCTACTTTAATTAACGGTATCACTATTTACCCAGTTGCCAAAACAAGGAAGATGGGAGTCACATTCAGCTTTTTTTCTTTCACTGCCACATCCTGTTTGTTCCACTTCTTAGATATTTCTTATCTGTGTTTCCTCTTTAGTCCTCTGCCATACTTAGTTTGTGGTCACACCATTTCTTACCTGGATTGCTGCCATAACCTTCTTGCTGATCTCCTTTCCTGCAGCACATCCTCCAGACTCCAGTCAGTGCAAACATTGGAATGCTCAGATCTCACCATGTGACTTCCTACTTTAAATGCTTCAGTGATTCCGCATGTCCTACCTCAGTCCTACCTTCTTACACTGAAGAAGCCCTAGACACCAGGGGAGACTGAACGCATGCTTCACATGGAGGTCTCAGGAGGATCCTAAATTGCCTAGCTACAAGTGCAGCATTTCTTGGAAGTCTCATGTTTTAGCTTTAAAATTTATTTTTTATTCACTTATATCTCTGTTTATTTTAATATAAAAAACTTTTCCCAAAATCTTTAAGTAAAATGCATATTTGAGAAGATGACCATGTGTGATCTCCAAGTTCCTTCAGGCATACTGCCACACATATACCAATTTGAGAACCATGAGCCTAAGGTTAAAGTGAAAAGGCTTTTGTATTAAAACTTTCTCAGATTCTCAGACTGGGTTCCATTTTCTTTCCAGTGACCATGTGCACAGTGGCCTCCTGCCGTACCAAACCTCTTATAGTTTGCCAGACAGACCAGGTTCTTTCTGCTTTTGCATATGGTATCCCTTCTTCCTGAATGCTTTTTTCCTTACTTGAAGAACCACTACTTGGTCTTTCAGACAGAGCTTCTGTGGCAATTCCTTTGTGACAGCATCCCCAATTTCTCTCTCCTAGGAAATTCGGGTTCTTCCACCACTGTTCTTTCATCATAGCTAATATTCATCTCTGATATCCCACTTAATTCCTTGGCATAATGTTTTCCCCTCTAGCCTAGGCAATTATAAGGACAGTGTCATATTTTATTCTTCCTTAGAATAGTACTTGGCATTCAATAAATGTTTGTGGGTTGTATGAAATAATCAATCCCAAACTGAAATGAGAGTGATGACCTTCCAATCACTAGATGCATTTCCCAGCCAGTGCTTAACATCTTTCAGGTATATTACAAAGGAATTCTTACTTGAATGGGAAGTTGCCTCCTAAATATTTTTGATAGCATTCAACTCTAAAATTTTATTATTCTAATAGTGAAAGAGAACAGTTAAAAGCATTTTATCTCCATTAGCACTTTACCTGCAAACTGAAAGCGTACACAGAAATACCTTGATCCATTAACTATTTGAAATTTTTTCATATTCTCATTAAAGCTAGATGAACTTTAAATTCATGATAGTATATGATAGTCCATAATGTTTGAATTCATGATCATATATAATAATCTATTAATAATTTAATCGACATATACATGTGTTATAATCGTAAAAATATTCTTTGACTTTTATAATTTTTATCTAAAGTATCAATAATATTTCTGAAATTTGCAAAACTTCTTTTTTTCCTTTCTTTCTAGCTTCCCTACGCTCAGAACTAAACCATCAACATGCAGCTGCAATTGATTTGTTACGGCACAGTCATCATCAAGAATTGGCAGCTGCTAAAATGGAACTGGAGAGAAGCATAGACATCAGTAGAAGACAGGTAAAATAAGAAAATTCTGTGATGATTTCTTTAATGTGGATAGAGTGAGTGTTCACAATTATTTTGTAATAACTATTTTACTCGTTATTTACTATCTATATTGAAGAGTTTTACTTTTAAAAGGAAATAAGTAATTAGACTCCAGTATATTGGTCATAACATTACATTTTATTTTATGACATTTTAATTGAATGTTTTGAATTTAATTTGCATCTTGGGAAAGTGAACAATGAAATATAAATAATAATTAGAGTGAGGACAGCACCATGCAATAGAAATATCTGTGGTAATGGACCTATTCTATACCTGCGCTATCCACTATGGTAGTCAGTAGCCATGTGGGCCAAATATGTCTAGTGTGACCAAGAAACTGCATTTTCATTTTTACTTTATTTTAATTAATTCAAAGTTGAGTTTAAATAGCCATATTGGGTAGTCCAGCTATAAAAGAAGCAGGTCCTCAAGAAGAA